AATCCAGCCGCGTCATATCACCCGAATACATTAGGTCCCAGTATATTTTGATGACGTGGCGCGTCTGGATTGATGTCCGAACGAATCCGGACACCGGACGTAATAATTTGCCCTTCTTAGAACACATATGGCCGAAGCAGAATATTAGAAACACCAAGCCTAGTTGATGGATGGATAATGACCATTAGAGACCGTTGAGGATTACTTTAATTTTTATAAACAGGATTGTAAATTGATTTAGAGAATACAACATTTTTAAAAGTAGATGTATTTCTAAAACTGTTTTAGAAAGTAGTAAAACAGTTGTCTCAAATGAAGCAGGAGAAAATAGCTTCATAACACAAAGATTTTTAAAAACAGTGACAATAATTGTCAAATAAAAATTGTGGTTTGAATCTGAAAAACAAAACAACAAGAAAACTGTCTTAAATAAAGTCTTAAGGCTTGCTTTGGAGAGTTGCAGCATTTTATAATGGTGATTGTGAAATTATTATAGAGAAAATAAATTTATTATCATGATTGTAAAATATAGCTTTTTATCATAAAAATATTTGAAAAATGATGAGAAAGCAACAAGAAAATGATAGTCAAATAATTTTATAATTGTTGCTTGAAAAAATAAAACAATCAGAAAATTGCCCCAAATAAACCCTTAGTTTATCTTGTCTTGTACATAAAAAAATTTATGAAAAAAAAAAAAAAATCTTTGAAGAATTTCACATAACAATTCCTCACAATAACTCACACGGTGTACCTCTCTATTCTCACCTCCTATGCCTAATTACAGCAAGAAATAAATTATTCAGAGAAGCAAAGATTTAAAAATAAAACTAATTAAACACTTCGTAGCTCTGTATCATTGCTAACAGCCACAGGACTCTCTGCCTGCCGAGCTCCACCCCCATCTCCATCGCTGCCAATAATAGACTTAATCGCAGCCGTTAACAAAGTCGTAAGGTTAGGATCTGCCGTAATCTCCGCCGTCGCTGCCCTCACCGTCTCGGCAAGCGATAGTAGTTTCTGATCCCCGGCGCCAGCCGGCATTTGCTGCCCCGAGAAACTGGAGTAGTTGCAGAGCGATTGGGCTAAGATTTGCGGGATTTGGAACTCGGGATATTCGGTTTTGTGGCAAGGGAGAGGGGAGGCGGGGGAGCCGGTGAGATCGAGGGTGACGGCGGGGAAAGAGGTGGAGGTGGAGGCGGAGAAGGTGGCGAGGGTGGAGGAGCAGGGGAGGACGGCACAGGCTAACAAGTTGGGATTGATGAGGGCGGCGTCAGGGCTGGGCATGGAGCCGGAAAGAAGCATCGAGGCGGCAGAGGAGGTCATGGAAGCCATCGCCATTGCGGCCAGCGGGAGAGGGTGGTGGTGCTTACCCTCGTACGTGGTGATGAGGATCGTGCGGTCCTCGGCGCATCGCTGGACCTGCGGGAACATAATTTTGAAATCATAGTTTAATTAAATGACAATTATAAAATTGCAATAAACAATTTTTTGGACAGTTAGATGAATTAAGTCAAATTCATAGACACATCACATACATTAAACTCTTGATTGATAGTCAAAGCTCTTAATCAATACACCAAGATAAGTTGCATCAATAAATAGATCACAATCTCCATATGAAGAAAACCTAAACTTGAGTTTGATGAGATCTTAGAGTTCTCACCAAACTTAAGTTTAGGTTTGAGTAGGGGTGTCAATTTCAGATCACGAGTTTGGTTCGAGTCGAACTCAAAACTGACACGGTACTATTCGGGTCAATCTGAACCCGATCAGCTTTTTGCAAATGGGTCGGTTTTTTCGACCCGAACATGACCCTCTTTGGGTTATCTGTCAACTCGACATGACCCGAATGACTCATTACAGACAAAAAATTGCTAATTTTCGAGTAAAAAAATGGGTCAATTTCTAATTTTTGATTCAAAAGCGGGTAAAAAATAGGTCAATCTCAGGGTTCCAGGTCAAAAATGGTCAATTTCGTGTTATTGGGTCAACCCGAACACAACCTGATTTTTGAAACTGAACGATTTGCTAAATTCGAAATCGATCCTTTTCGGGTTCGGTTGACCCTAACCCAAAATTTTCGGGTTGGATTCGAGTCAAATTTTCGGGTCATGTCAAATATTGACACCCCTATGTTTGAGGTCGACACACTACTAGCTACCACATGCACCTTACTACCATTGCTCGATCCATTGCCATCTCCCAACAATAGTCATTTGACCACCTTCGCTTAATCATAATCTATTTACTATCATCTGACAACCACTATATCATGTAACTATCATCCTGTGATTATCATTATCCGAAATATCATCATCCCATAACTTTTATTCGATAATTATTGTCTGACTAACACCATTTAACTACTACATCTCCAGCATTTTCCCACATTCATAGAAATACAAATTATATTACACACTTGATAATCCTTTTCTTACACATTAAGGAGAAGAGTATACTACTCTTGTAATATATCTTTGTATTGGATTACTTATTTAGGCCATATCCTATAGTTTTTTCTCTTTTTGCATTTTACTCATAAATATTTTAGTGAATACCACTTTCTTTTGTTTGTTATCTGTGTGTATTGGAACTTGGTAAAAAAATTATTTTTATCATCACAAATTTTCAAGCACACAATAATTATAAGAATTTTTTATTAACTATTATTCATACATTATAGATTATCAATGTTTTATTCGTAATGATATATAGAGATCAGAAACAGATATATTTAAATAAATAAACAAATAAAATAAAGAACTCATAGTATTCTCAAGTAATTACTTGTTTGCGAGCGGTGCAGTCTGCAGCCATTGTACACCTGAAATATGCTCGGGGAAATGGGTTTCCTTTCGCCATCTTCTGCCCATACTTCCTCCACTGGCATCCATCGGCGATCTAAATAAAAAAATTTCAATTTATCGTTAATTAGTTACGTACGTATAATATTGTGTGATTATTTCCATTAATTACCAAGATGATTAGAGAGAGAAAGTTAAGAAATCCTGCCATTCAATTCGCACAATGGAGAAATAATAATTTTATTCACAATATTTCAGTTTAGAATTCTGCCATTCCACTCAATGGTGGACGGTTCCTTGGAGATTTCGTGACCTTCATAAAGCAATCATGATATGATTTCTTTGACGAAGAATCATATGGTCGTGTGTATCTATTTTTGTATATGAATCTAAAGTCCCTCCTCACGTTCAATATGGGCTTGGCTACATAAAATTCTTTTCTCCAATGTGTTCTATTAAGAGTCGAATTCACATTTAAATCTAATAAAAAAAGTGCATTTTTTATTCAACTTGTAAGCAACAAAGAGTCGATTAGAAAACTATTTGTACTATTATTTTTGTGAGAGATGTTGGTCGCAAAAGCATTAATAGGCATTGTTCGAGATAGCTTTCTTAATGCTTTGTAGAACATTTTTTTTGTTAAATTTTTTTTTGAATTAGAAATTTTTGCACTAAAAAGTTGTTTTAGAAAACAATAAAAAATGGTTCCAAACTAAGCCTAAGCTTCAAATTTGCTCCGAATATATGTTGATCGCAACAACATTGCAAAAGAGTACCTAGAACAAAGAATTTACGATTAGTATCGGCCGTCATGATCCAATTATTAACTAATGTTTGTTATGATTCCTTCAAATATTTTGAGATAAGCTAATAGCGACATGCTCTAGTTTCAAAATTCATGATAAGTAGATTGTATATTATTTTTTTTCACCAAAAGGTATAATGATCAATAGTTTCAAAATTCAAAAAGCATATTCTAATGAAAGCAGTAAAAGAACTATCTCAAAAGAAGCTTTCATAAAATGAAATAGATGGAACACCTTTGATCTTTCCTTGGAAAATCACAATAATGAAATCTAAAAAAAGAAATAAAGAGATGAAAATTTTTTCTTCTATTTTAATTTCGGTGTAATGACCTCTAATCCTATATAAATTGCTCATTTTTTAGCATTCATTAAACTAATGGCATTAATAATTTCTCAAATGTTTAGAATCATTTATCCATTAATTGAAAGAATCCTTTTTTTAATGGATGGCTCAATTACATCAGAAAATAAATTCATTTAAAGATCATTTAGACATTCAAATATTTGTAATCAAATACATATATTTTCACCCCACCAATGTTAATTTTTTCACAGATTTGACTAAAGACTACATAATTAATTATGAAAAAAAAAATTATTCATAAATAATTTTGATATTATATATCCCAATAAAAAGTTTGATTAAAAAAGATAAGCAAAATTAAGAAGCACGTAGATAGATACTTACCATGGGCGCTTCACAGCGGGCTCTAACAGAAACACGAGCTTTTCTCATAGTAACCTCACCCACTTGCTGCTCAGAACTCTTGGAAGTAGAAGACAGCATAGCCTTTTGGTTTGGACGCCCACCTCCGTCAGGTCTCAATTCTCTGAACATTCCTTCGCCGCTTCTGCCATCGCGCCTGATCGCACGGTCCATGTAAACAATCCCCTTTCCGTCATGATCACCGCAACATTTCTTCTTGAGAAGATAGTCATGATGACCTGCCTCCTCCAACTCGCTCGCCGGCGATTCCAACCACCTATGGCTCACTCTCTCCGTCAAAGAATCCTCATTTATCCCCGCCGCCGGTGCCTTTAACCCAGGGCCAAGGTCCATGAACTGCCTAGCCACAGTTGTACCTCCATTTCTGTTGTTATCTTGCTGCATTGCTGCAAGTAATTTCATTTTAAGAGAATTGTAGTTGCGGTTCAATTGAATCAAAATGTTTCTAAGCCTTTGATTATCTTCCCCCAGTCGATCCATTCTGGCCTTCATTGCTACCATCTGATCGACAATATTTTTTATGTCAGAATGGCACACTAATATAAAGATCTAACGGCTATGACGCACTAATTTATACTATTCTCTTGTTTATTATATATTATTGCGCGTGATAAGCAGGAGAAAATGAATGAGCACAGTATTTCCACAGCTGGGAGCAATATTAATTATATGAAATTGTTTCGAGTTCTTCAATAACAATTTTATTAACTGAGAAGGCGATCTTTACTGCAAAATTTGTAGATAAAAGCAGTGCAGACAGGGCATCCAAAAAACCTAATTGATTGAATTATTTGTTCTAAGACTCTTAAGCTTTGTAATGCCAACCTCGCTCTTTCCTACGTCATCATTGTTCTGCTCAGACATCGTCGCCGATATCACATCTTCCACTGTCGACTGCTCTGTTGCGGAAAAAAGGTGAAGCCCAGTCTATATATACCAAAGAACACAAGAAGTCAATGATTAAACCTGACCAACACAAAAAATAAAATAATAATAATAATAATAATGAGCTCATTCAAACGGCTTAATTACATTGATAGTAAGGTCCTCCTCTTTGATGCTTAGATTTGGAACATTTACTTCCGGTGCAGGCCTTGCCCAGCTCTTCTCCTGCGAAAGGAAGTCCATTTCAACCACCATTCTCCGGCCATCACCGGCCGGTGAGCTGAGACTTATCGGCGAGTCAACTCCCGTTGCGAACTGACCCGTTAAGTCCAAAATATGCCCTCCCCGGTCTCCTCCTCCACAATCCTCCATGTATCAACTTAAAAGGATAAGAAGAATAAGTAAAGAAGAAGAAGGAGAAGAAGAAATTGGAATGTTGTTGCTGTGATCTTTCGTTGTTTGATTTATATAAGAAAGGAAACGGAGACTTAGGATCCATGTGGGGTTTGCATCTGCCGCCACGCGGCGGGAAGAGTTGGGGCTGGAGACCGGAGATGGCGGGAAGACGGTGGTTGAGGGAGTCAGTCAATTAGTGGTCGAACCGCTCGCGAGATCAATTCCACTGCGCTGAGCGATCGCATCGGCGAGCCTGGTGTGGAGTCGTGGAGGTGAGACCGTCTCACCTCCGGGCTCCGGCTTCGATTGGAGAAAGGGTAACATTAACAATGCTGAGAGGGGGGGTGACCGGACCGCACGCAACTAATGGTGCGGCTCACGTGGACTTGACTATCTGCGTGGACCTGCCAGATCAGCGATGGCCGTGCCGGTCTTTCTCACTTGCTCCTTTCACGCAGTTGTACTGGGACCAGCTTGATGAGGTGGCTATTGCACGTGGCTGGAGCTGGGACCATAGATATGTGGAAGGTGCTAAGTGGGTGTATTATGTTGATTGATCATATTATCAGAGGAATTGGTACAGAAGAATAACGTGATTAAATTTTAAATTTTATCATTAAATTTTAATCTGAATATTCTTGATATATCATAAAAAAAAATTATCTTGATCGGGCATGAATCTCGAGACAAAATTAAGCTGAAAACTTTAAAAACTAAATCCGGTATCACATGAACTCCGATTTCAGCAAACTTACAACCAAACTGAGCATCTCGGAAATACGAGCCCAACGACACCAAATTCGACTAAATGCGAGCCAAAATGAGTACAAATCAAGGGCCTGAAGCGCGTTGGAAAGTTCGAACCACAATTTGAGTTACTAAACAGTTTCCAAACGTAACGTGCTTATAATCGAATCGAGTGGCTCGACGAGACGAATCCAACGAGCCCAAGATCGCCGAATTCCAATATCATTAAGACCTTCAAATGTCTGACGAACGGTACACGATTAAGGGATTCAATATCGACTGTCCATCCAACCACTCCACATTTGCCCCTGATCTCTAACCTATTTACGGGCCATGCCACTCCATAAATCTATAAATAGACCCATCATTTCTCTTGAGAGGGGACCGAAGCAAGAAAAGAAATGGAGAAAAGAAGAATAGGGGGGAAGAAACTCCTCCTCAACCACCATCATAATTCCGCCCGACCTCCAAGTGATGCCGGAATTTCACCCAACGTCCAACTGACGCCGGAGTTTCACCCGAACTCCAAGTGACGCCAGAGTTCTCCTCGGCTGCCAACTGACGTTTGACTTCTACCCAACGTCGGACCTCCGATCGTCGCCAAGTTTCTACTCGATGTCGTACTTGTACCGTTTGTCGAACTTTTGTCGGACATCTATCCGATGCTGGATTTTTGTCCATTGCTGAACTTCTACTTGACGCCATCTTTCTGACCTTCGTCCTCATACAATAGTCCTTCTGACCTCTATTTCCAACCGACTACGATCCTATTGACTTACGTCGCCTGCCGACTACGGTCCTCCTGACTTACGTCGCCCGCTGACTACGATCCTTTTGACTTACATCGCCCACCGACTACAGTCCTTCTGACCTCCGTCTCCAGCCGACTACGGTCCTTCTGACTTACGTCACCCACCGACAACGGTCCTTTTGACCTCCGTCGCCAGCCGATTACGGTCCTCCTGACTTACGTCGCCCACTGATTGCAGTCTTTCCGATCTCCGTCGCCAGACAACCGTCTTTATGATCTCCGACGCCAGCCGACTACGTTCCTTCTGACCTCCCTCACCAGACTATGGTCCTTCTGACTAAACGAACACGTCAACAGTGATTCTTTGTATTATCACCATGTAATCTACTCTATAATATGTACATCAACCTAAGGCCTTCCTCCAAGAAAGGGCCTCATTTGTAATCAATTGCAATAGTAGTGGATTCATTCGAACTGGTTTAGGCCCCGTGGTTTTCCCCCCTTTTTTAGGGGTTTTCCACGTAAAAATCTTGGTGCCTCATAAATTCTAGATCATTTCTCTTATCTGATTACATGTCGGATTTTTGTACAACGCTAAGATGCTAAACTTTATTTTTCTCTACCGCCGCGAATACTCCAGGACGCAACAATTCTAACCTTTTTTTATTCATAAGTTTTATTCTTTTGTAATCCCTTAAATATTCTCTTTTTGAAAGTCTTAGAGTGTAAAAGCTCTTCCCCCTTCTCAACCTTGTATCTTTTGAAGTTGCGAGCATCGACATGGTGATAAATGTTATCAATAAATCAAAAGATTCAAGATTTAACCTCCCTTTGGAACATATTTTCTTATTGCTTTTTAATACGACATGTGTACCAAACAAAATCTTAATCTCAATACGAAGAATGAAATTACAAGAGAATGATTGACTTAATGATAAAACTATTCTAAAAATCAACTTTGCACAAGATAGATCAATTTGATATATAGATCAATGATTCAAAAAAAAAAATTAAAACAAATTCTAATAAATTATCATTGGTGTTGGAGTCCAATCAGATTTGAAAGGTCACAACTATGATACTACTCAATCTAAAGATATACATTATTCTCTAAAGGGAAATTAAAAAAAAAAAAATCTAAAGATCTGATTGGAAAAAAAAGGTTAATGAGGATGGCAAAAAAGTAAAATATATTGAAGTAAATGAAAAAAGAAAAAAAGCCCACATAAATAATTAAAAATATATTGTAAAGTAGAATGACTAGTAATGAATAGTCATTCTTGGTATATCATCAATAAATTATCTTGACCGGGCACAAATTTCAATGCAAAATCATGATATAAACTTCCGCAATAAAATCTGGGAACATTCGAACTCTGATTTTAGTAAACTTACAATCAAATTGAACGACTCAAAAATACAAACCCAATGAAACCAAATTCGACACAATCTATGCCCAAATGGGTCCAAATTGAAGACCTGGAGCGCATTTGGAAAGTTTAGACTATAAATTGGATTATCAAACGATTTCCAAATGTGCATTCTTATAGTTGAATCGAGCGACTTGATGAGACAAATCCAACGAGCTTAAGATCGTCGAATTATGATATCATTAAGATATTCAAATGCCTAGTAAATAGTATACAATTAAGGGGATCAACATCGGTTGTCCATTTAAACCACTCCAAACTTACCCTTGATCTCCCTCCTATTTACTAGTCATGTCACTCTTAATAAATTATAAATATATCACTCATTTCTAAAGGAGGAAAAAGGGAAGTAGGGGACCCAAGAAATGTAGAGAGAGAAACTAGAGTTCTCTTGCCACCAACCTTCTCCTACCACCGACGGACCATAGATCGTTATCTGACTGGCGCTAAAATTCCATCAGGCTACCGACTGATGCTGAATTTTCGTCTGGCTTCCAATTATTGTTCGACTTCTTCCCGGTCGTCAAGTGATTTCAGGCACCTACTGTCACGACCCGATGGACGATGCGTACAGAAAATCACCTGGAGCAAATCTGGGCACATTCTGGAGCAGAATTTCCACTGATCGTCCCAGGACGATCCAGATCGTCCTGGACGATCCTGGAGCAGATTTTTTTTTGATATTACACCTACCCAGACATTGACTGACGTCGGGCTTCCGCTCGACCACCAACTGACGTTGGATTTACACCCAGCCACTGATTATTGACATATCTCGCCATAAAACGGTCTTTATGACCACCATCACCCTCTGACTACTGTCCTTTCAATCTCCATCACTGGACAACGATCTTGGTGACCACTGCCAACAGTCAACCGGTCCTTCTGTCCTCCTTCTCCTGCTGAATACGATCCTTCCGACCTCCATCACCAGACAACGGTCTTTCAAACCATTATCACCTGTCAACTACAATCCTTTCGACCTTTATCGCCAGACCACGATCTTTCCGACCTCTTTCGTCATACTACGATCCTTTTTACCTCCGTTGCCAGACAACGATCTTTATGACCACCGTCGCCCACTGACTATGGTCCTTCCGATCTTTGTCACCAAAAAATAGTCTTTATGACCTCTACCTCCCATAGACTACAATCCTTCCAACCTTTGTCACCATACTACAATCTTTCAGACCTTTGTCACCTGCCGACTACGGTCCTTCAGACCTCTATTACCAGATAACGGTCCTTCTAACCATTGTTTCAACCTGAGTACAATCCTTCTGATCTTTGTCGCCCACCGACTACAATCATTCCGACCCCTGTCACCATATGATAGTCTTTCTGACCACTGTTGCTTGTCAACTACGGTCCTTATGACCTCTGTCATATGACCTCTGTCACCAGACAATGGTCTTTCTAACCAATGCGCCTGCCGCTGACTTTGATCCTTATTACCTCTATGACATGCTCAATATGGTCCTCTTACCTGACTACGGTCTTTTCAACATCTATTTTTTGCTTACTTCGATCATTCTATCCTCCATAACCAGACAACGGTCCTAGCGACCTCTATCGCCAAACTACGGTCATTCCGACCTATGTCGTCCATCGACTACAATCCTTCTGACCTTCATCGCCCACCGATTACGATCCTTCCGACCACCGTCACATGACTGCAGTCTTTTCTGATCTCCGTCACCCGCTGATTATGGTCTTGCCTACTAAACAAATGTGTCAATACTAAATTTTCCAATTCCCACCATGTGATGCACTTTATATGATGCATATTTGTTACATCAAACCAAGGCCTTCCCTTAAGGAAGAGCCTTATTTGTAATTGACTGCAAACACTAGTAGATTCTTTCAAACTAAGTCAGGCCCCATGATTTTTTTCCTCTTTTTAGGGGTTTTGACATAAAACATCTGGTATCTCTTATGAGGAAAATTATTATGTCTAGCGAATCCAAACACGCCACATCACTCGAACCCCGGTGCATCCGGGTGGGTCCGGGTGATGTGGCGCATCCGGATTCGCCTCTGGACGATTCGGACACCGGACGTAATAATTCGCCCTATTATGAACACTACATCCTCTCTTTTATCTGATTGTGTGATAAACCTTAGTACAAAGCTAAGACGTTAAGCTTTATATTTATCTATCACTGTGAATATTCTCGGACACAAAAATTCTAATGGCAACTCATAAATACCAAAAAAAAAAAAAAAAAAAAAAAAAAAAAAAAAAAGGGTGGTGGTAGTGATTTTAATCTTAATTAATTTTCTTTCTTGCAATAAAAGTCTATCTCAGTCTAAAAATCCAAAAAAATATTTGGAAGAATCTTAATTAGTTTTCTCTCTTGTAATCAAACTCTATAGAATAAAAATGCCTGAGCTTAACTCTAATTAGTCTTTATGCATGATTAATGTCTTCAGTTCATGGTTTAGTTGCAAAAGATCATTAGCACAATAAATCAAAATTAGACATTACTGTTGGTTGTGTAATGGCTCAAGCAACCTTCATAGCCAAGAGCTTGAAATGAATTAAATATTACAGCAACAGAAGTAGCCTCAGTAGTTTATAAAATTGTTATTTTATAGTGCATCAACCACATATATGCTCTTCAATTGGTGTATCAGATGATTAAGCATGACTTTATCATCACTATTATAAACAAGATAATAAACCAATAAACAAATTACAACAATGATTAGCATCAAATTACCATCCATTTCTAAGGTATAATTTAAGGTTCTCACTGATATCAGAAAGCACATTTACAATTCTTATTTTGCAGCACTGAGATTGGGAAAGGAACAATGCTTTATTTCTCTTATCTTCAACGCATCTCTAAGAGTATTATTAGCATTTTGCATCTTAAGCAGCTTTGGCAAATCCAACCCTAAGGTTACCATAGTCAAACTCTGTGTGATAGACACCCATGAATACATCACCCAGAATCCTGCAACCAAATTAAACCATAGGAACTTAGTAGCTGACATTATACATCAGTTCCAAAGTAAATCAAGCGAATTCCCAATTAAGAAAACTGAATCAAACGAAGAATTTATATATTCAGGCTTCGTTTGAGACAGTTTTCTTACTTCTTCTTAAAGTTACAAAAATTAATTTTTTGGTACTAAAAAATTGTTTTAAGAAGCAATAAAAAAAGCCGTCCAAAATAAAGCTTCGGTCAGGTCAGTTTTCAGTTTGGTTGCAAATTTGCATAAACCAATTGGTTTGGTTTGAATTTAAGAATAAAAAAAATACAGAGAAGTTGAGCAAAAACGAATGAGTTCATATATGATGCTTCTTGATTCATCCATAGAGAATTAAAAAGTTGATTTCTAACCTTATAAATCATTTTTCTATTATCAATATATGTAAGACTAAGGCTTCGTTTGGGACGGCTTTCTTTTCGCTTCATAAAGCAGCTTCCTAGTATAAAAAATAATTTTTTTATACTAGGAAGCTGCTTTAAAAAGCAATAAGCAAGCCGTCCCAAATGAAGCCTAAATCAAATCAAATTTATCAAAAAAAATCAATTTGATTTAACAGAAATTGAATTGATCTGAATCATAGCCATTTTAGTTTCCTCGTTTTAATCCAAAAATCAAACAGTATGGTTAGATTTCATTTCTTTTAGAGATTGTTCCAAAATATTTTGCAACCAAACTGGATCATTTACTAACCTCTACACGCAAAGGGAAGGAAGGCAGATAAGGAACATACCAAAGTGGGCCACGAGGAGGGGGCACGTCCAAGGCTGTGAAGCCACTGATGCATTGGGCATCAGCTCCTTCGCCTACCTTCAGAATATACTGAAAAAGAATCCAAATGAAGAAACAAAATGCTCAATGCATTAGAATTTTTAAAAAAGTACATTCAGGTAGTAAATTTATGTACCTTAAATAAATTAAAAAAAAAAATCTTGTGAGGAAATTTCACTATCATAACTGAGGTTTGTACAAAATATCAGCCAATGACAGCTCGGAACACAAATAGTGCCAACATATAGGATTACCTGCTCAGCTGTAAGGTCAAATGTCTTGCTACCAATCGTGAAAGAAACACTTGGCATGGAAGAGATGGCATTACAATCAACAGAGGAGTCTCCTAAAGGACTCGGCAGTCGGTAGCACAACTGCAATTTTTCAAAATATATTAGCATAACACAACAACAACAACAACAATAACAACAAGACTTTATCTCACTATATGGGTTTGATTACATGAATCATTTTTCTCTATTGTGTCCTATTAAGAATTAAATTCTCATTTAAATATAGTAAAAAAAGTTATTTTTAATAATGTCTAATCAAGTCTTTTTAAATTTACCTCTTTCTTTCTTAACATAGGTTGGATCTAACACATCCACTTTCCTAACAAAATTATCAGAAGATCAACATTTTATATGACCAAACAATCTAAGATGACTCTCTCTAATTTTATATATCACAGGAGTTACTCCACCTTTTAGCGTATATACTTATTTTGCATTCTTTCTCAAAGTAATTAAAAAAACAACATTCACCTGATTGACATTGTTCAATATGAGTTCCTGTGCCTGGTTCTGATTAAGCCGATTTTGCATCGAAACAACAGCCATCTCACAAGCAGAGCACATGGCATCACTCCTACCAAGGGAAGATTTACCCCCATTGTCCTTCACCACACTCTCAATACCAACACTTCATTTAAGGGAATTTACCAAAACTAATGTATTAGAAAGAAAACATAAACCATAAAACATAAAACAGTGAAAATGAAGACGAGTTCTAAAGAGCATGCCAGATGTTGATTTCTCACCCTATTGCATTAATCCCATCAATGGTACAGAGACCAATCTGAGAGCATATCGTCGTTGGCTGTGCCTGCGATGTAAATCAATATTAGAACATGCTAGCTTGCAACCATGTAAAATGATGCAGATTAAACAAAGAAAATGTAAATATTTATCTGAAATAAGAACATTAATTCATACCTCTTCCACCAACAGATCTAAAATTTGTCGACCATATTGAGTAACTACTGTGTTGCACTCTTGGCTAACAATACCAGCAGCTCCAATTTGTTGGTTAATTTCTGTGATAATTGTCTGCATAAAAGCAAACCTAGTCAGTAAACAAGAGGGCCTACAATATATCTTTGTAGATAGCAGCATGGAAGAAAGAATGAGACTGACCCTACATTTTGAAGGGGACATAGCAGCATTCACTATGACATGACAAAGACAATTTTTCCAAACACTAAACACAATTACAGCCCAAATAGGCTTATATGTAAATATGCATGAGCAAGCATCCACATTCTACCATACATGCAAACAAAATCATGTATATGCCCAAGCATGCACAAACACCTCCTGCGTGGGTGGAGAAACTATTCTATGCGGAGACCAAATGCAGAACGCGGTACGGAGATCAACCAGAATGCGCCACGTCAGCGGTACCGAGCAGTACCGAGCCGCGGTACCGAGCACATGGGTGACGTGACGTATTCTGGTTGGTCTCTGGACGGCATTCGGCATCCACACAAAATAATTAATCGTGTTGGTGACACATGCAACTCGTAGGCAGAGATATACACGGCCATTTTCTTTTAGACAACAAGGTGGATGGATTTGGAATAGGTGCAAAAACATAGCCTTGAAATAAAAGATGATCTAAGAATCAGGATAATGCAAATAATTTGGTAAAGTGCACGCCTGAGCAATAACAACTGTGATCGAACCAAAAGAAATATAAGTTAACAAGAGTGACACCAAAATAGGACAAAGGAGATATATGTTGTGGTTCAGTAAGATTTAGCTTCATTCATGAACACACAAAGAGATCCACAAATTCGATATGTAATTACATGGTAATAGTTGACCTTCAACTGTTACCAGCCAAACACTCTATCGTTGGCTTCTGATGAGCCTGAAAGCATGCGCATGCAACTAATGACATCCCTCATACAATTCATAAGGCAGTGGGAAAAGAAAAAAATATTTTTAGGTTTAAGCATAAGCTTAGGCAAAACTAATCTGAAAAAAATATTATCAGAGATCTAGAAAATCTGAGAATTGTCCTTAACAAAAAATTATGTCCAGATTTATCTCGAATTGAAGATTTTCAGGGATTTGATCAAAAACGGGTTGGAAGAATTAAATCTCCACAAAAACTTAGAATAAACTATGAACATTTCCCTCCCCATAAACCATACTCCCCTTCCCAAACCCTGCCCAACATTGAGAAAATCCATCCCTCAGGTCGGCACCATCCCATACCACCACTAACACACCCCAACCTCCTGCGTTTGGTGAGCGGCAATCATTGACAGAAAATGGGAAAGCAGAAGTAAAAAAATAAGTTGTTCCAATACAAGTAACTGAATTCAAACATGACTTACACAAGACCACCTTGAACAGAAATGTGTTTGCACAAAGAAAAAATTTAAGAAAAGGATCAACAAATCAAATCTAATAAAAGAAGAAATACCAATGGGAGCCTAAGGAAAAACTAGTGCAACAAAAAGTAAAAAGCACAGATTTGTATCACTTACTGTTGGTCCAGCAATCAGAGAAGTACCAGAATCAGCTATAGCTGCACAATCACCAGAACAGTATCCTGACAACCCAATGAAGATAGCAACAAATTAGAAGCATCTCGCAGAAAAAGCAAAAGAATTGAGTCCTTAGCAAGTTTGACAGCCTACCAGTTCTTTTACCACCAATAAGAACTTCTCCCATATTAAACTGCAAAACGATTTCAGAAACATAGTTTAATAGAGGTTTAATAGAGGTAATGATCAGAAAAAAAAGAAATTAAGGCATGAATCATCATCATCACTAGCCTCATCCAAAAAAATGAGATTAATAGGACATTGAATTTTGAAATAAAAATTAAATCGGCAACTGAAGGCTCCACCTGCCAGTATCCCTTGAGAGTCACAGGGACATATGTGTGCTGACCTATGTAATGTTTTGGGTCAGAACCTCCAAACACTATTTCACCTCCATCACCATCCTCTGAGTTCCTATTTAACCAGAAAGAGAAAATAGGATCTTCAATAAGATGCTGATCAACCATGTTGTACCTGCATGAAATTATTACTAGTTGGTCAGAAAACCTTTAACACTTTCAGTAAACACAAGGCAAAAAGGCAAAACTTATGTGTTTAACGCTATTTCATCCTTACTGAAACCTAGTGCAACCCTTGCTGACCGAAGATTACAATCGTATATGTCTGCAAATGACCAAAAACTTCAGTGAGCACTAAGCACCGTCACCAAAGGGATCTCCCTACTCACTCATTGTGCGCATGACTTGATTAACAATTGTCGTGTACTATAACTACATATTTCTAAAGTTGGAGTTAGTTTTGTGTGAAATTTGATTATGTTGGTCAATCGGATTGTACTGTTGTCACGGACCAACTCAGTTTGTCATGTTCACATGGGGGGGTCCTCCCCCTGATTGGGTTCAGGTGTCTTGCATCCAATTTTTTTTACAACGCCCTGGCATTGTGTGCCCAAGCGCCCTAGCGCTGCGTTCCCAAGCACCCCAATGCTACAAAGTTTGCTGGAAAAAATGATAGAGAGCAGAGTACCACAACAATGTATTCTCGGTGCCGGAGAGCTATCAGACAGACCAAATGTCAGAGGTTGAACGCCACAGCGCTCCAAACTGGCATCACAACGCTTCAAGGTGGCCTGAACAGTTTTCTTTCTCGTTTTTCTTAGGGTGGCATCACTTGGTGTTACTTGACTTTCTCTTGTGTTTTGTAAAAAGAGAATAATGGAAGAATATAGAGAAGCAAGGAGAGAGCAAGAGAGAAGAGAGATTTGTTCTTATTTTTCCCAATTTACACAGTGGATTCCTTAGTGTGATGTATCTCCATGATTTTTTCTTCATTTTGAATTTTTCCACATTAAATCCTAGTATCCTACGCTTTCCACTGTATTTTTATTTTTCTTGTTTAGTTGGGTGCTGTGTTTTACTTTCATCCCCAACAATTGGTTCTCAGAAAGGCCAATCTTTTTCAATATAGAAAAATGGTAGAGTATTAGTGCATTGATTGCTAAAACGCCACACTGATAGATTGACAGGGCTCATTAAAGAATGTTCCAAATTTCAAAAACAGAGTTCAATAATTTTAAGCCACTATTTCTCCAGGATTAGCAGTTGGACTTCTAAGCACTCTCATATATTCTAAGAAGCTGTTTGGCTGCAAGTAGGATTTAACTGAGGTAGTATTTAGAAAATATTGTAAATTCAAATTTATTAAATTCCAAAGAAGTTAAATCCTAAATCTGATTACTTATTTTAAGATTTAAGTCTATTAACTCAAATAGAATTTTAATGGTAAGTATTGACGATGAAGTTAAACTTGTAAATATGTGATCATAATTAATTATTATAATTAGTGTAAATAATCCAAGTAATTAGTGTTGGAAAATTTTTATATGTGTGTGTGTATATATATATTCATAAATTAAATATTATACATTATTTGCTATCTAAAATTAAGTCACTTAAATTCGTGATCTACTTAAAAATTAAATTATTATTGACTTATGTGTGTGGGCTCCGAAAATTCGGCCCCAGCCTCCCCTCGACTCATTGTTTTTCTTTGACGATGGAGTTTTAATGGATTTAAGTTCCGGGATAAATTTTGGAAGGCAGATGAGTTTGTAGATAAGACACTACCCAGAGATTTCGCCCTCATTTTACGAGGACGTTATGATCTGAGTTCTAGTTTCCTACAGGCGCAAGCCCTTATAGTTAATTACCCCTCCCGATCTTGAGAGAGAACTTTCGATTACGGCTAGTTGTCAATCAGATACGTATAGAGATACATGTTATCTGACATATAGTAGCAACATGGGTTTGAGAATCGAAGGATTTGTAGGTTTGATATTTTAAAATTAGAAATTTCACCATTTTGCACTTGAAGCAGATGGTGGAAGAATGGATGATAGACCCGATCAAAATCCCATGGTTCCGTCGTCCCGGACCATCATGGTCCCCGGTCTACTTAGTCAGAGGAGGTAGTCGACCCAACCTGACAAAAGGATCATTGTCGGCAGCCATAGGTTGCTTCGTCCAAGGGTACCTTGTAGGCCTAGGGTGAATGTTTGTCTAAGGGGACATATTTGAATCCACCATAGCTAACAGAGGGTTTTGTGCCCTATCGATCATATCATATTGATTCATATCTCAAGAATTTGATGTCATTAAGGAGAGCATTGCTCTGACCATAATCGGTATTTCGTGGTACCATTTGGCGGCAAAACCACTCGGTTCAGAGGGCCCCGTGTCATAACTATTTATCCTGCGATGTCATTTGGCAGCAAAATCGCCGGTTAGAGGACACGTACCACGTCCTTACTAGAAGGAGATTATTTAAGAATGGATTCTAGTGATATTTTCAATCATGTATTAGCTCTATGTGAGCTGAAGTAAATTTTAATTTGTCCACCTCGACAAATTGTTACGGAGGGTGAATAGATTTTGCTTTAAGTGTTTTATGGTTGGATTTCAATTTTAAATATCTTAGAGTTTTAAGATTTTTTTTTTTTTTTTGATTTTTGGATTTTGGACTTTGTGTAGTTTTGGATTTTGATGGGAATTTGGATGGCATTATTGAAATATTTGAAATTGACCCTTCCGGTTGAGATTTTGCATTCAACATGGCCATCATCAGGGTGTACGAGATTATTTCCCTTTCATTAAACTTTATCGACCCTATCAACTTGCTGATAGGGGATCAAGTTTCATAGACTTCATGCCTTTGTTAGTGAATTCTTATTGTTATAGGTTTTTAAGACCTAATATTAATATATTAAAACAAATATATCGGTCGCTTCAACCGTATATTTATTTAATAGTTCGAACCCTATCGACTCCTATTGATCTGTATAGAAGGATCGGGTTCGAACTTGGATTCACTTATTAATCCGCACAACATCTCACATGCTCGTCGGGGCCCATGCGGGTGTTTGAGGACATTTTTTAATTATTTACCGAACCTTGTCGACTCCTATTTACCTGCTTAGAAGGATCAGGTTTAAATTTATTGATCCACACAGTATCTCTAGACGTCACGTGTGTACCAATAACACGCTCGTCGGGGCCCATATGGGTGTTATAATTGTATTTACCCCTTTTGTATATTAGATATTTAACACTGCTCAGTTGTGTGGGTCACCACCGTTTGAATCTGGCATTTTGTTTGGAAACTTATACACACCTTTTGTCTGTTTGTATACGGGTTGCAGATCTGGTGGTGTGGCATAGCAGCTTGTGGCTTGAATTATTAGCTTCTTTGTATAGGTAGACTGTCGTGCACTACTTACTACTTTATGTAATTAAATTATAGTGCACTAACGAATCTCCTGCTTTAACCCGTAGGTGCTTGTATTTGTTGCATTCCACCTGCCTTTGCTTACATGATCAACATGAATTTGCACACCAACTGTCATCATTGGTAAGAAATTTAACTACTAGGGATTTTGTATAATTCGCTTGCAACCAAACTATACCTTCCCTCTGATTTTCTGCTTGCTGAGTTCAGTGCATCTGTTTGTAATATATTCATAGTTCTTGCTTACATTTGAACTGCAAGATATTACTACATCTACTTTGGTGAGTTGTAATCTCTTGTAGGTGGTAAAAGCGTTCATTCTTCCTTATGTTATAATGGACTTCATGAACACCCCGACACATGTTGTATGCTTCTTGTAGATTTGTTCAAGCCAATCAATTTGCATGAACCTTTATCATCATTTGTGAGTGAATAATACTAGAGATCATACGACCTTCATTGCTTTTGAACACAACTTTTAGTCTACAAGGGACTTACGTGTGGATGACAATTTCAACATACCTTTTGCATCAATTGTTTGACATTGTGTTCAACACAAGTCTCCTATTCATATGAATGGATGAAATCTTATAAATCAATTGATTCACGAGTCTCACATATATCCATTTACATCTTAATTTGAAATGATAATTTCAATATTCTATGTTCAAATGAAATTCCTTTTTTTATTGTGTCATTCTTAAGATCCATTAATCTTATCTTGAATGTTGGATTTTAATTCCTTGATAAATCTCATTCATGTCCAAGTTTCAAGTTATTTTATCCAAGTTAAGTTCAACTTTATTTGAGCTTCATGCATTGCTCTTTTGAGTTTGAGTCCACAAGTGTTCATTTCAAGTTCGAGTTCATGTCCACCAGGTACGAGTTCCCCGTGGTCCAACTCAAGTCTTTGCTTGAGTTCAAAGTTTACAAGAGCAAGTTTGAGTCCAAGTCCAAATTGTGTTCTTTGTAGTTTGTGGTCTTCTTGAGTTCAAACTCAATTCAAGTTCAAATCTTTTGTGGTTAGGTTCGAGTTCAAAGAAAGTCTTCCATATGTTCAAATAAAATTCAGGCTCAATATAACCCTCTTCGATTCATTCGAGTCTCCTAAGTTATGTCCTTGTCATCTGATATGAATCAAGTTTAAATTTGATTTTGAGTTCACTTCATTGTTCAATGTCAAGTTCCTTGAGCTATGTTCAAATCATGGTTCATTTCAATTTCATTTGATTAAACTTGATTTAAGTTTGATTTTATGCTCAAGTTATGTTCAAATTAAGTTCCATTTTTTTTTTGTCCAAGTCCCTTGCATCTTCAGATAGAATTTTCGCAGCCTACCGGCGTCTCCCCCATTTAGGAGAAAAACCAAGAGGCGACCTTCCTCTCGTCGCTACTTGAGCGCTTCAGGTAGGTGTCAAATGACACCGCGGTTGTATTTTTTTTAATCCCCGCCTGCTACATGAGCGTTTAAGGGTCTTTAGGTACGTGTTTAAAAGAGCACAATTTTCTTTCCCCCCTCTGCACTACGTGAGCGTTTGGAGGTACTTAGTTTTCTTTGTCCCCCTCATGCTACATGAACACTCATTGGATTACCCATCTCGTTACGAGCGTCGTACCAGTTTCTCTCCCTACTACGCTACGTGAGCGCATAGGGGTTTGCCGGCTCGCCGCAAGCCTCGAGAACGGATTTTTTTTTAGTTAGAAAATAATACCTTCGGGTTGGACGGCGGTGGCGATGAAATGCACAAAAAACAAACATCTCTTTCCTTTTTTTTTTTTTTTTTTTTTTTTTTTTTTGCATGCATTTTGAATATCTAGAATGATATTACAAACTAATAATGAAAAAAATGACATCAATATAATTATTAATAATAGTATTTAATATTAATGATCATAGTTATGCAAATAATAATATCAATGTTAGCTAATGGTAGCATTAACAACAACATTAGCAATGGCGCTAATATTTATGCTAATATTAATGAGAATGATGATATTAATATAAACATAATTAGTGGTAACTAATGATACTATTATTAATAAAAAAAAAACTACACTAAGATTAACATTAAAAACACAGCTCATCTTGGTATGTTGGTTGAGAGCTTATGCTTCCAACTAAGAGGTCTTGGGTTCGAGTCTTTGTGTATGCGTTGTGTGTGTGAGTTTGCCTTAAATGACCTAAATGTCCCAATAAAAAAAGATTAGCATTAAAATAAACATCAATGCAAATAACAGATGATGGAGCATCACTGGTGAGGAGATTAACCTTGTTGAAAGGTGACAGAAAGACTTGCTGCACCTTTTTATTTACCTTATGTGAGAATACAAAGACTTTTGTCTTGTAGTGAGAGTAAGTAAAAGGAATTGAATGAGTGTTGTAGAAGTGGTAACTAATGATACTATTATTAATAAAAAAAAAACTACACTAAGATTAACATTAAAAACACAGCTCATCTTGGTATGTTGGTTGAGAGCTTATGCTTCCAACTAAGAGGTCTTGGGTTCGAGTCTTTGTGTATGCGTTGTGTGTGTGAGTTTGCCTTAAATGACCTAAATGTTCCAAAAAAAAAAAAAAGATTAGCATTAAAATAAACATCAATGCAAATAACAGATGATGGAGCATCATTGGTGAGGAGATTAGCCTTGTTGAGAGATGACAGAAAGACATGTTGCACCTTTTTATTTACCTTATGTAAGAATACAAAGACTTTTGTCTTGTAGTGAGAGTAAGTAAAAGGAATTGAATGAGTGCTATAGGAGTGGAAGAGTTCACGCGACTCTGAAGTTTTGTCTTCTTGCTATTGGTTGCAAGTAATGTGAAGAATATAAAGAGCCCGGCTATTGTCCTTAAATACAGAAGAAAAATGAAACAAAATTCTGATTAAAATGGAGTAGACGGTAGCAGGTTGACAGAGAAACAAGGAAGGAATTCGTGGAAGGTTGTGTGAGATCGGTTGGAGGAGTTGAGCTGCAGGTTTTAACTTTAGATACCTACAGGTTTGCTGCGAAGAAATATAATTGAGCTGGTAGCTTACTCGAGTGAGGGCACTAGTCAAGAACGGAGTAGGTTGAAGCCTTGTGATCGGAGACTACAGTGGAGTTCGGTTCAGGCGTTTTAAGGAGGCATGCAAACTATTAAGTCGGATCCGCCCCTGATTGCAAAAAAACAAGCATCCCTCGGATATTTGTAAATACATTCTATAGTGCTTCAGAATTCATGCAAGCGTTAGATCAATCTTGCTTCAAAATTTGTATTAAACATGTAAGTTTAAAAAAAAATTAAGCCACCAGTAATCACTAACTAGTGTAGTAATGGTGCATGGTTACTTCATGCTTCCCTTAAAGCAATACTAATGCTAGTTTATCAAGAAAAAGTTCATTATTGAAAATTCCAAAAGAGCTATTAAGCGCTCTTTACAACCATGAACTTCAGCAGTTTGGAAAAGGCCAGAAACGAAGGCATGTACTACATTTAAGATAAGAGCGCAAGGAATTGTTCAGTAAATGAACATACATGCAAGCACGCAGAAATAGCTCTGGGTAGACAATATTCAAGATGTCCTCATTAATACCGAAATAAGCCATAATAAGGCTCAAAAGTTGATCATTCTATTTAGTGTAACTCTGCTGAAACTGTAGCTAGTAAAGAAGGCACCACCAAACATTTAGCAAGCATCATGGATTACAATCAATCAAATTCCAGCCATCTTCACTAAAAGCATACTCAAGCTCCATAAAGAAGTAAAAACCAGTGGAAAAACAAAGCTAATCAGACCCAAAAACTAAAAAGCTTACCAAACAGGTACCACATTGTCAACTGATATTTCTTTAAATCCAAGACCAAGTATTCCGTCAAATTTTGCCACCAAGAAAGTTGTACCTGGTTCACTGGTGGCCTCAATAAAAACCTGCAATCGATCACATCAAAATCTCCTCCTTGGCACAAGTAATATTTATATACGTACAAGTTATTCTACATTACAAACCTGATCTTTCACGAGGAGTTCACCAACACCAACATGATCCTGACTCAAGAAACCTGCAATCGCTCCAGTCCCATACTGAATGGCAGCAGATTTCCCTGAACAAACACGTGATTGAAAAGTCATAGAAAGCACTTATTGACTATAAGAAAGAAGAAACAGTAGGCCTGGAGCAGCATTATTTCCATTGAGCAGCAAGACCTGATAGCGTTATTTCCATGCGCAAAAGAGGTTCAAAATAAAAAAATTTCAGTGAATGATATGGAAAGGGAGGTTTGAAGAGGTGAAACAAACAAGGTTCGCAGCACTAATGTGAAAATGCATCATTTATGCATCCGAAGATAAGCCTTATTGATTATACATTCATGTTTGAAATTATTACAAATGCATAAAAGATGATTAACTTTTCTAACTCAAGCAATCAATTATGTTGATCCCTGATGCCAAGGTTGGGATCATCTATCAAGAATAAATTATGCTTTGTTAAATTAGAAGAATAAACAAATTCACTTGATTTAGTTCTGAAAGTTGATACAAATTTACAAAAATTAAACCATGCACAAAAGTCCCATCCAATTTGGCATAATTGTTTATAACAAGTCGATATTCAAACAACCATATGACAAACACAAATGTTAGATGCGTAAAGAATTGAACATTGCATTAAAAAATTGCTATTTCTACTTTGAAGATATTTCAAGTTAGGAAAGAGAGTGCTTCAATCCAAGAGTGAGTGGGATAAACTAGAAAGTATGCAAAATAAATTTAATATCACAAAACAAAACATCAAAATTTATGTGTTCTACTTAAATAGGTCTACGTACAAAGTCGCACTAAAATAAAATAATCAACTAAACTTCTTAAAAAAGTATATAAAGGATTACTCTTTATATAGAATTTGAGATATAGATAAACATACCACTTTGTCTCGGTGAGAAAAAAATACAATCAACTACTGTAAAGATAAAGGCTAGATATGGATGAGATTCTATTTCAATTAATCTTTTCTCATCTCTATTATAGAAGCCCAAATGAGAACTATTCCCAATTATGATAAGAACTTCTCTTGCTAGATCCAAAAACAGTTACAATTCTTTCTTCATGAAGAAGCCTACTAATTAAAGACCTGTGTCCTTATAATGAACATCAACAATCAAATAAAGGACTTGTGGACTTCAACTTAACTTGTTTAAAATTATTGCAATGAATGTAACATATCTGTAAGCAAGGATCGAATGGAGAAATGCAATGACATGCTTATAATTAACAATACAAGATTTTCAATGAACATAAGGAATTGTTACTTCAATTGGAATGCAAATATCAACAAACAACAATCATTTGTGGATGATGAACAACTACAGGCAATGACTGATGATGAATAAGTTCTCTACATCTCACTCACCAGCAACAAGCAAGATGAATACATAGCTTGATGGCATGTAGCATCTTCTACTTATACATAGCCAATGTGGAACATGCAGTGTTCATATTAGTTAACTAACGAGTCTATATACATAAGGTTGGAAGCATTACAAGGAGAGTGTTAGTGGATCTGATTGTTGACATACAAAGAAGACAGTAATTCGCCAACATAATATGCTTGGGAAGAGTATAATGAACATGGCTTGTTCAAAATAAATGCCAATTAGCTTGCAAATGGGTTCATTAATCTACTTGCAATACCTGCTGGTGATGAACAACAGCAGGCAGTGAGTGTTATGACACCCTCGTAGCCAATAACCATTCAACGTCAGGAAAATACACTGATTTTCCTCACAAGTAAATGATGGTTGATATGCAACGAATGCAGATACCAAGAAATTGTTATAGAAGACTCGTTATATGCACAACTTGCTATTTACTAACAAATGTAGAAGAGTTGTGATGAATACAGGTGTCTGTAAACAGTATTGGAAGACTTATATTCCCTGCAACCTATTTGAAAACAACAAAGTCTCTTGCAAACATGCAAACGCAGCATGTGGTAAACACCGGTATATTCATGTAGTGAATACATCGGTATCCTACAAGCAGTAGTAGAAGATATGCATCAACACAGCTTGACCATGGGTGATAGCGAAGAGCTGGCAAGGATAAAAGATTGTAGCAAATGCGAATACCCATTAACAATAGTGAAATGTTTGTTATATGCATAATGACACACCTACATGTGTTAGCCAACAGTAGGTCGTAGTTGTTAGAACACTCCTACGATCAATCTCTGTTTAATGACCAACAAATAAACTGATCTTCTGCAAGCCAAGGGCAAATGATATATAACAAATGCAAATGTCCACGGGATTTTGTAGGAAATCTGTTATATGCTCAAAACATCATTTAAGAACAAAATGCCAAGTGATTATAGCAAATGTAAGTGCTTACAATCTGCTGTAGAAAACTCGTTGTACGTCTGGTGTGTCAACCACAAGCAAAAGGCAAAATAACTATAACAAATACAAATACCTCTGGTCGGCACTAAAAGATTTGTATGTAAGGTAATGACCACGAACAAAAGCACCATGTGAATGCAGTTATCTATGGATAACTAGCAGGAGATTCGTTAGTGTACTACAATCCACCTGTAGGAAGCAACAAGTAGTGCACGACAGTCTAACTGTATGCAGCGGGCAAATGACCCTAGTACGACACCACACCATTTGATCTGCAATACTCATATAAGAGGACATAATGCATGTTCAAACTCTCAAATGGAATATTGTGCAAACTCAAAAAGAGTCGCCAGAAATCTGTGGGCTCTAAAAATTCGGCCCCAGCCTCCCCGTTGTTTTTCAGGGGAGTTTTAACGGATTAAGTTCTGGGGTAAATTTTGTGAAGGTAGATTGAGATTGTAGATAAGACACTACTGAGAGATTTCGCCCTCATTTTGTGAGACCTTTATGATCTAAGTTCTGGTTTCCTATAGGCACAAGCCCCTATAGTTAATTAATCCTCCTAGTAATGAGAGAAAACTTTTGATTAAGGCTAGTCGTCAATCAGATATGTAGAAGATACGTGTTATCTAGCATATAGTAGCAGCATGGGCTCAAGGGTTTGAAATTTTGATATTTAAAATTGAAGATTTCACCATCTTGCACTTAAAGCTAATGGTGGTGGAATAGATGATGGACCCGATCAAGATCTCATGGTTCAGTCATCCTAGGCCATCGTGGTCCCTGATCTACTTAGTTAGAGGAGGTAGCCAACCTAACCTGATAGAAAGATCCTTGTCGGCAGCTATGGGTTGCTTTGTCCAAAGGTACCTTATAGACCGGGGTGGATGTTTGTCTAAGAGGACAAATTTGAATCCACCTTAACTAACAGAGGGTCTTGTGCCCTATCGATTATATCATATTAATTCATATCTCAATAATTTCATGTCATTGGGAAGTATACGGGCTTTGGCCATAACAATAATTTAGTAGTGCCATTTGGAGGCAAAACTACCCAATTCAGAGTGCCCCGGTCATAACCGTTTACATGCAGTGCCATTTGGCAGCAAAACTGCCTGTTAGAGGACACGTGTTACGTCCTTAAAAAACAGGAGACTGTTTGAGAATAAATCATAGTGATATTTTCGACCAGACACTATCTCTTTGAGAGATGAAGTACTTTTCAATTTGTTCACCTACATAAACTATTGCGGAGGGTGGATGAATTTTGCTTTAAATGTTTGATGAATTATTTCATTTTTTGAATATTATGATTTTTTGGTGTTTTTTTTTTCTTTTGAGATTTTAAATTTTGTGGGCATTTGATTGACATTTGAATAATTGGAATTAACATGTCCGGTTAAAATCTATATTCAACACAACTATCATCAAGGTATATGATCAATTATATTTTGTTGACTGAACTTTGTCTACTCAGTCAACATACCAACAGAGGATCGGGTTCATCATAGGCTTCATGCCTTTGTTGGTGAATTTTTTTTGTTCATCAGCCTTGAAGGCCTAACATGAACGTACAAAACAAATATCTCGATCGATAACGTGATCCTATATTTATTTGATGGTTCAATCTGTATCGACTACTATCTACATGCATAGAAGGATCGTGTTCGATCTTGACTTCATTCACTGACCCATACAACATCCTTAGACGACATGTGTACACCCATGACACACTCGCCGGAGTCCATACGGGTATGTGATTACATGCATTTCTTTACATTTGTATGTATCGAAATTGTAGTGCATGTGGAGCATTGATCAAATGTGCAAATGATCAGCATTTGTGTGTGCCCCAATGCTCTATGTAGAAGCCTATAGACGTCTTATGTATGTTTGTACGAGTGTTGCAAATTTGGTGGTGTAGCATGGCATTACTCTATAGTCATTTGCCCATTTCATACAGGTAGACTATCGTGCACTACTTGTTGTATTTTATATATAGATTGTAGTGTACTAACGAATCTCCTACTATCAGTTATATGTTATAGATTGTAAAACCCCTCCGAAGCTGATTTTTTTTAGTGCTGTTAGTCCCGGACAAACTGGCCTTAGTACGGGACGAACCGAAGAAATTGTGAAGAAATCTGTATGTTTCGTCTGTACGAACCTGGAACAGTCGGGACGAACTGAACCCAAGAGCATCGTCCAGGGACGAAACAAATTGGAATTAATTTCGTCTGTACGATCTGTGTCCAGAGGAGATCGTTCCGGGACGATCTGGGCATCGTCCTGGACGATCCTGCTTGATAAGTATCGGATTTGAGATATTTTTTATTCACTTGAAGAGAGAGAAAGAGAAGGCAGGAGAGAGAAAGAGAAGGAAAGAGAAGGGAAAGCTTGATTTTGGGGGCCGCGGAGCGCTTTTCGTCCGACGACGCAGTTGAAAGATTTGTTTGTCTCGAAGTAAGGAATCTGAATCTTATTTCTGATTTTGAAGATTTCGAGTTTTGATAATTATGTGCTCAGTTTTGTATTTCCGTTATCGAAAAACGTGCATAATTTTGTATTGACGAAAGTTTTACCGCACAACTTCTGATATGATATTTTTACACGATTTGAGTATTTTCTGTAAAGTTTCTACCGGTTATTTTGAGTTATGTGCGATTTTTATCGAATAGAAAATTATCTGACTGTTGAAAAATGTTGCTTCAGTACAAGTAAAGCTTTGAAACATTGTTTTATTCGATTTCTGATAATTTGGTGAATTTCTAAATTTGTGATTTCTGTGTACATTCCGTATACTGTCGTTATGCCGCCGATTTCTCGTACGACTTCTGATTTTCTGAATTGATGATTGAATATGCATATGAATGTGGATATATGATTGAATATATATTACTATTACTGAAAGACAAATGAAGACTGGTTGAATCGTTGGTTGGAGATTGATTTGACCTATACAGGATGGTGGGCCGACGGGCTTTCCTTTAAAAAGGGTTTGGCGATATCCTCTATTGATCATTGATTTAACGATTGGGAGTCATAAGGAGATTATTATGCCGACGGGCAACCGACGGGCACAGAGTAACGACTCTTATTGAACCAACGGATATATTTATGGATTTCTACAACAGCACTATGGATTTCTACAACAGAACTATGGATTATCGACTTGAAAAATGCCTTAATAGACAATGATTGTACTTGTTCAGTAAGACTATTGTATTGAATTACATGTGTACAGTATTGTCCTTATGATCTCATTATAGATTTTATTGATATTGACTTGTATGGATTTTCTGATATGAATTGATCTATTGATTACTGATTTGCATGTTCAAACTCTCAAATGGAATATTGTGCAAACTCAAAAAGAGTCGCCAGAAATCTGTGGGCTCTAAAAATTCGGCCCCAGCCTCCCCGTTGTTTTTCAGGGGAGTTTTAACGGATTAAGTTCTGGGGTAAATTTTGTGAAGGTAGATTGAGATTGTAGATAAGACACTACCGAGAGATTTCGCCCTCATTTTGTGAGACCTTTATGATCTAAGTTCTGGTTTCCTATAGGCACAAGCCCCTATAGTTAATTAATCCTCCTAGTAATGAGAGAAAACTTTTGATTAAGGCTAGTCGTCAATCAGATATGTAGAAGATACGTGTTATCTAGCATATAGTAGCAGCATGGGCTCAAGGGTTTGAAAATTTGATATTTAAAATTGAAGATTTCACCATCTTGCACTTAAAGCTAATGGTGGGGGAATAGATGATGGACCCGATCAAGATCTCATGGTTTCGTCATCCTAGGCCATCGTGGTCCTTGATCTACTTAGTCAGAGGAGGTAGCCAACCTAATCTGATAGAAAGATCCTTGTCGTCAACCATGGGTTGTTTCGTCCAAAGGTACCTTATAGACCGGGGTGGATGTTTGTCTAAGGGGACAAATTTGAATCCACCTTAACTAACAGAGGGTCTTGTGCCCTATCGATTATATCATATTGATTCATATCTCAATAATTTCATGTCATTGGGAAGTATACGGGTTCTGGCCATAACAATAATTTAGTAGTGCCATTTGGAGTCAAAACTACCCAGTTCAGAGTGCCCCGGTCATAACCGTTTACATGCAATGCCATTTGGCGGCAAAACTGCTTGTTAGAGGACATGTGTTACATCCTTACTAATATGAGACTGTTTGAGAATGAATCCTAGTAATATTTTCGACTAGACACTATCTCTTTGAGAGATGAAGTATTTTTCAATTTGTTCACCTAGATAAACTATTGCGGAGGGTGGATGATTTTACTTTAAATGTTTGATGGATTATTTCATTTTTGAATATTATGATTTTTGGTGTTTTTTTTTAGATTTTAAATTTTGTGGGCATTTGGTTGACATTTGAATAATTGGAATTAACCCTTCCAGTTAAAATCTATATTCAACACGACTATCATCAAGGTATATGGTCAATTGTATTTTGTTGACTGAACTTTGTCTACTCAGTCAACATACCGATAGAGGATCGGGTTCATCATAGGCTTCATGCCTTTGTTGGTGAATTTTCTCTGTTCATCAGCTTTGAAGGCTTAACATGAACGTACAAAACAAATATCCCGATCGATAACGTGATCCTATATTTATTTGATGGTTCAATCTGTGTCAACTACTATCTACATGCATAGAAGGATCGTGTTCGATCTTGACTTCATTCACTGACCCATACAACATCCCTAGACGACATGTGTACACTCATGACACGCTCGCCGGAGCCCATACGGGTATGTGATTACACATGCATTTCTTTACATTTGTATGTATAGAAATTGTAGTGCATGTGGAGCATTGATCAAATGTGCAAATGATCAGCATTCGTGTGTGCCCCAATGCTCTATGTAGAATCCCATAGATGTCTTACGTATGTTTGTACGAATGTTGCAGATTTGGTGGTGTAGCATGGCATTACTCTATAGCCATTTGCTCATTTCATACAGGTAGACTGTCGGCACTACTTGTGTATTTTATATATAGATTATAGTGTACTAATGAATCTCCTACTATCAGTTATAAGTTATAGATGCTCGCATCTATTGTGATTCTTTCATATTTGCTCACAGACAGCATGTTGAATGTATAACGGGTCTATTTCAGTAGCCCGTAGGCATTTACATTTGTTGGAGTCATCTGGCATTTTGTTCATAGATGACATTTTGTGTACACAGTGGGTACAATAGCTTATAGGAACTCGTATTTGATGTATTCACTTTGTATTTTGCTTGTGGACAATAGATTGGGTGTATAATGAATCTTTGAAAATTTGTATTTAATATGTATCCTCTGCTTTTGAGGGTAGAGGACCGGTTTTAAGCATATGACGGGTCTTTTACAACTGTTCATAGGAACTTGCATTCGCCTGTTGACCCCTATACCTTAAATCATGTGAGAAAGGACCCAAACTAACGAATAAAGCGATACGCGCCTTGGCACCAAATCACACTTGAAGGGTCAAACGACCTTTGATTGCCAAACGGACAGTGTCATTGCGATCAGAACATCGAATTCTGCTAGGTCGAGACCCCTCATAGTCGAATCGGATGAGATCGGTCAAAAGGATAACCGACACCTAAAATTAAAGCGCGAAGCTGATCAAGCGACGTTGGATAAATGAACAGACTTCGTCCTTGTATCCGGAATGTTGACAACCTATGAAAACTACATTTTATTTATTCAATTTGAAGCATCCAGATTGGTGGCACGGATCCCGAGGCAACAACATGAATTTTGAGGAAAATCACCCTCGTCACTATCCAAATGACGTCTGATCGCGAAACGGACTGCGCCATTACGATCAGAATATCGACAATACCCTTAATGCACTATTAATTTGTCTAATTTTTATGTTCTATGAAATTGGCACGTAAAACGAGACGATTGTGCACATTTTAGGAATTACGTGCGAATCAAGATGATTTTGATTGACTGACTCGTTCACTTCACTTCAAATAGAAAATTATTGATGATAGGACCCTCACATTTAATTTAATATAAAGAAAATTAGAGAAATTAGCAAAGTCAAATTTTAAATCCACACAGCTCACATTGGCCTGTTGGTTGAGAGCTTATGCTTCCAATTAAGAGGTCTTGGATTCGAGTCTTTGTGTATGCGTTGTGTGTATGAGTTTGCCTTAAATGACCTAAATGTCCCAAAAAAAATATTAAAATCCAATCACAATTAATACCTTACCTCTTATGTGTTGAAAATATGCTCTGAATCCCTGTCTAAATCCCATAAAATCCGCCCATTATGCGTCTAAATCCTGTGAATTTAGCAAAGCAACATCAATAGCAGCTCATCATCATCCTTAAAATGAAATAGAAGAATATCAGGGCTTGCTGCTTTCATGCACACTAACTTCAGCTCCTCAAGCCTCTTCCTCTGTTCTTCTCTTCAAACTCCTTAATCCAGCCGACCACCAAAACTTCTAACCTCAAGGCATCTACTCCTCTCCAGCACCTCCTCCCGTCAACCCCACAATAGCTTACAAATCCTTGTCCGCCTCCTACAGTTAATCACGCTTAGAAGCTCCCTAACCTTCCTGTAGCCAAATCTCATATCTCCCTGTTTATTTAAAAAACATCTTGCTACTGACTGAACTCCAATCGTCCAGCCCCTCTGCTCCGCCTTTTGCTTTTGTTTGACAGAGGAAATGGAGAGGGGGAGACCAAGAGACAATCCAACATCTGGAACACCGTCAAGCACTTCGGAACGACCGACCACAGCCCTCTCTCGCGAGAACTGCCAAACGCCGGCCACGACCCAATTGAACTCCAAGACGCCTGCGCCAAAACAAGCACCATGTTTCGTAGAAAGCAACACTCTCATACCAATGAGAATGATCCTACACACCGAGAAGCCAAGATTAATGAGTTAAAATCTGCAACTGGCCCCATATCTAGAAGAAGCGAGTAATTCTGTTCTGATGCATGCTTCAAAAGATATTTGGTAGCTCGCAGCTGGAAGGTTTACAAATCAAAGAAAATGCTTGAAGATACTCTCAAGTGGAGAGCAGTATATAAGCCCGAGAAATTCACTGGCAAAAAAGTTGCTATGGAAGGCAAAACTTGAAAGGTATATAGAGCAACTTATCAGGACAAGGATGGCAGGACTGTTCTTGTGCTGAGGCTTGGAAAACAGAACACCTCGTCACATAATAATCAACTCCGTCATCTGATTTATCTCTTTGAGAATGCAATTCTCAATCTACCTGAGGGTCAAGAGCAGATGTGTGGCTCATAGATTTTGGAGGATGGTCTCGGGCATCTCTAACCGAAAATCTCTTTTTCATTTTTCACTCCAAAAATGCCATGAAACTAAAAAAATGCCGGGATTCATCTCCAATATAGAACTCCATTTTGCCCCACAACCATCATCTCTTCTTTCGCACGTTTCTTCTGCAAGTTCGGTGGAGGCATAAAAATGGCCAAGATGAACAGTGCAAAGCCAATATTCACGTCGCACTGTTCATCCGCCATAAAATCACATAAGAATTGCCGCTCAGTTGGAGGACGGAAGAACGGCAAACAGCCGTTCCATTGGAGATGCTCTGAGCAATTTAGTTTCAATTAAATTGGCATGAGAGATAGCGCATGTCTTGCAACATCACTATCCTGAGAGGCTTGCTGTTGCTTTTCTTTATAATCTTCCAAGGATATTTAAAACTTTTTGGAAGGCTTCTCTTCGAAGAATGAGATGAAGCTGAAAGATTTGGTCAGCCTGCTGGAGGAAGAAAGCCAGAAGATCAAAGCTTTCAAGCGCGAGCTTCCTCTTTGCATTTGTTCTTCAGATTGGTTCGAACCAGTTTAAAGTTAGTAATGGTGACTCCATCTTTACCGAAAAAAACTGAAGTACTGTGAGGTTAATGTCAAGCTGATTCTAAACAAGGTTCTCATGATGGGCCCAAGAACCGAAACTATCATTGGTAAGCTTATACTAATAGAAGCTGTTGTACATGGCGTTGTTGGAGAAAACAGCAATGCCCAAGAATTGGAAGCTGAGGGATTTTTTTTTTTTAATATGCATAAAGAATTCTCCATTGAGTTCTACTGTCTCTCAACTTGAAGAGGAATTCAATAAGCTTGGTCCAATTAAACCTAATGGAATCCAAGTTAGAAACAACAAGTTAAAAGGGTTCAGGCTTGAATTTAGCTCAATTCCAATCCTTACTTTAAGAACTCTGTCCTAACTAAAACTTATCATATGATTGATGACGGCGATCCTTCACTAGAGAGAGCAATTGGGACTGAAATTGAATGGTTATCAGGGAAATGCTCGACTCAGAAAGTCCTTAAAAGCCCATCTCTCTCAGTATAAGAGGTATTGCAATCTGATATTGCTATTTGCTTGGGTGATTACTGAACAATTATTGTATATGTCTATAATGATTATTAAAAGAAAATGTATTGATGAATTTTGACCAAAAAAAAGAAGGAAAAGGAAGAAAACAAAAAAAATGAGAATGAGAAAACACAAAAAAAGAGAAGGAGAAAGTGCTTTGTGCATTTTTGTAAAAATCTTCATCGCCGCCGGAATGCAAAGGTATAACCCTCCTATCCCTAAAACTCCGAGACCCGATTTCGATGCTTGCAGCGCGACGAAACAACCACCTATACACGCTTTTGTTAGTGTGGGGGAGGAAGTTCGTCGTGATGCTTGCAACGAAGCGGGTAATCATCAAAATTCCTTCTTCGGCGTTTGTGGCGCACCGAAAAACCGCATATACACGTTTTTCTTAGTGTGGTGCCCACGAGTTGACCATCTTTGATAGCAAGAGTTCATATAGATAATTGTGTATTAATGCTGACCACGAGATGCTACATTTGTTATTTGTTGATATTCCATATTCCTCTTATTTTTTCATTGATATTTATTTGAATGCTTTAATTTTTGCTTATCAATGAGCAGCATTTGGATATTTATTTGCTACGAGCTAGCTGGTCATTCATTATTTTCGATGGGTATTTGCATTTGTTGTGGCTCTTCTGTATTTTACTTGTGGACAGTATATTATGTACATGATGAACTTTTTAGTAGCTCATAGGTGGGGTTATAGTTCTTGTTGTATATCTGTCTTTTTTGCTTGTGGACTATATGATGCATTCGTATGAAGGAATCATCATAAACATTATATGTTGGGCCTCATTGTTCACTACTTTGAGATTTGATACACTTGATTGTATGCTGACGATGACTGCATAGTGGTATATCTATTGCACATCTTTTTGTGTGTATGTTGTTCATGAATGTATCACATCATTTATTGTACTCACCCCTTTATATTAAAAAATTGATGGGAAAGGGAAGAATTGACATTCATTTCATGTTCTTCATGAATATGTTATCCATGATTAAGGTGATTTGTAAATCATTATGATATATGCCCCCTTTAGATTGATTGTAGCTTGCTAACATTAGCTCATAAGCATGTGTTTAGCGATTTATCACGAGTCTTCTGATTACTCATTGATCTTCATATTGTTTGTTACCTCTGAATGGGATATAAACTTGTCATATGCGGTGAGTCATTGCTTGTAACCAAGCTATTACATCTTCAACTTGATTTGTTAGTGCTTATTTGTTTGATCATCGTCATCTGACTTCCGCCATTGAATCTCTTCCCAACTACCAACGATAGTCGAACTTTTGCTCGTTCGTTAGCCACTGCCAGATCTCCTCCCGAAATCTGACTGTTGCTGGACTTTCGCTCATTTGTTGGCCACCACTGGATCTATTCCCGACTTCGGACCGTCGATTGACTCCGAACTTCTGTCTGTCTGCTGATTATCATCGGATCCCTAACCATTATCGAACCTCTACCGAATATTTTCTCGGTTGTTTCTATCAAATTCTTAATATTTATCATTCAATCAAGATTAGGAGTACCCATTTGAAATTTGGTCCATTTCCAATACATCATATTCTCACTCTCCTCAAGTTGGAGGACGGGTCGGCTTTTGTAACATGTTCAAGCATTATTGAATCATTTCAACTGGGTAAGGCTCTGTGATTTTTTTTCTTCTACAGAGTTTTCCACATAAAAATTATGGTATTTCTCTACCATTTCAATTATCAGTTTGCGCGCTGAAATTTGGATCATCGGTAAGATGTAAAATATTTTTACTCTACCTCCACGAATTTCTCAGCCCGCAACAGGAAAAAAGGCAAACATGTGTCTATGGCAAATTAAAACAATTCAACAACTACAAGAATTAAAATAAAGAAAGCGACCATGAGGAATAGACGAACCATTAGCAGTGTAGGTGTTTGAATTGCTTGACTTGTATTTTGAATGGAAAAAACAAGCAATCTGCAAATTGTGAAAAAATGGAAATAGTAAACATTAGTTAAGCCAACCTACACAACAAACAATAACGAATACTAAGAAGTCCAAATTAATAGCAATAGATTCTTCTTTATGTTCACCGATTAGAAATTTTAGGATTCTATTTAGCCAGAAAGAAAGTTGTAATTATACATTCCAATTAATTGCTTAAAAATTGAGAGCAGAATACAACAAAACTAAGAAATCTCATATTGAGGTTAAGGGTGAGGATGGTTGCAGTTGTTTGTAAAAATAGTCATAAATTTATTGTAAAAGAATAATTTTTTAAAAAATTATATTATGGATATATAAATTAAAAAAAATGATTATAACTTTCATGTAGCTACAGTTGTAAATTTTGGATGCAAAAAACAGCTTATCACCTAAACTATATAAGAAAAGCAATAAAAAAAATTATAACCAAACAGTTTGTTTGACAGCAGCCTTAAAAAAATAAAGTATAAAAAAAACTGCCCCAAGAGACCTTAAAAAGTAAGTCCATTTGGGGCGACTCAGCCGAGACCGAACCTTTGTAAAGTCATCCATAAAATTGTTGTAGGAAAAAAAAAAATTTTTGAAAGTTACTGTGCTGTTATAATTTTTTTCCTTTCTAAAGAAAGCCGGAAGGAAGATTTCTCCTAGCAACCAGATCTGACTGAAAGAAGTTATTTCTGAAAACAAACATTTCTTATAGAGAACTACAACAAAGTTATAGTTAAGCAAAACTATAGCAGCAATTGAGAATACTAATCTAGAATTAAAAAAAAAAAAGCAAAGCTAGAAAAAGCAGTGCCCAAACGGACCTTTACTTACCGAGAAGTGGCACTTTGCCGATGGAACCCAAAGGTTCGAGCTTCCCGTGTCAAATATAACTGTAAACTTCTGCGGGGGCGTGCCGATGCTGATCTCTCCATAATACTGAGCATTCAAGTAATTCTTCAATGCTACGATATCCTCATCCGACCCGTCCTCAACCCCCCCAATACCCAGACTGTCGTACTTCAGAGGCCTCGTTTCACCATTAGCAAGCCTTGCTGCAAGAAAGTTGCTTTCATCCAACGGCCTCTTCTTTAGCGCAATCCTCACCAGTCCTTCCGCCGAGGTCGGAAGAACAAGAGGAAGAAGGACAACCGTTAGAACAACAAATACCGAAGGCATCTCACGCGCATTCCCCATGGAAAACTAGGGATTCAAAAACAAATCCCTGAGAAAATTAAGCTACAAAAAACGTACCAAGAGGACGACAGGACCATTAATCAACAAAATTCTAAATATTACCATAATCCATACGAAAAAAGACAGCCAAACATAAGAAAAGAAGCTTACATTGGAATGAAAACTCACAGATACCGCGACGATGCCAATGCACCGAACCGAAGCTGAGAAAGAAAGGTGGCGCTCACCAGTCCAGTCTGGCGTTTTTATATAGGAGTCGATGCGACTTAAAATGACCTCCGTTTGAACCGTCCGTGATATGAATATGAAATGTATAGTGAATGTATTAGAGGAAATTTTTTCATTCATTTTATAATTTTTAATAATATTATTATTTATTACGTCATCCGGTTCGACCCCGGTTCAACCGGTCGAATCGGTCGAACCTTGAACCTCTCCTTCTTCCGGTCCGTTGTCCGGTCCGGTTTTCAAAACGTTGATTATTATTATTTTAAAAAAATGAGCCAGCTAAGATTTTTTTTATTATAATTATTTACATTGTGTCCAAATATAATACTTACATATTAGTGATTTTATTTTACTGGAATCCTACTATCTTTAGCATGGGCCTCTAAAACCTCACCACTAAGCGACAGGTGTATGATAATGATAGGGCTTTACATTTATGAGAAATAAAAAACTATATATGTGCCAATTAATTAGAATAAATTAGTGCGTGCAAAAACCAGATGGTAGAACCGTTAAAATTATGTGAGAGTACACAACAAATATATAATAAATACATAAAAAATAATTTATGTATTTGCTGTGAACCCTCACAGAATCTGAACGGTTCTCTCGTCCGGACTTCGCTTGTAATAATCTCTCATTAATTAAGAGGTGTGCATGAGCATCTCAAATTA